TCAGCTGCTCGGTGGGAACAGTCCATCGTAAAACGCTTTATGACACAGAATGGCCGCCAGATGGCCCCCTACCCTCGCCAAATGGAGCTAGAGCAGTGGTTCTCAACCATCCTCATGCAAAGACCCCTTCCTACAGTTCCTTGTGTGGTGGTGACTCCCCCAACCATAAAATTGTTTTGTCGCTACTTCATCACTGTCATTTTGCTACTGTGTGAAAGGGTCGTTCGGCCCCCAAAGGGGGTCACGACCCACAGGTTGAGAACAGCTAAGTTAGAGCCAATAGCCTCACTGGGTCCCCAAGATGAAAAACCATGCACTCACCTCATACGACGTTTGGAACATTTTTATTTTAATAAATCGTTTTATCGGGGGCGCCTCCGGTTCTTAAGCACCATCCAGACATCCATCCATGGTGTCCAGCACATTTGTACACGTGCTGCCATCATCATTTCAAAAACATTTTCTTTCTACGTGAGCCCTTGGGATCAGCACCTCTATCAGACAGCGTTTGAACGACGATAACGTTCCCACTTTAAAGCCGTTGTTGGCTACGTGACGGGAGGTAGAAGAACACGGTGACAAAGATCGCACCCAGCCAAGCCTACTGTCTTCCCGTTTCCTGAGGCCCCTGCGCAGGTTCCTTATTCTGAGGTTGGAGGGCTCCAGAGCCGATCCAGGAACGATCACCTCTCACAGACTCAGCGATGCTCCAGTGCGTAGGAATCCAGGGGCTGCTTGCTACAAACTCGCTGCCATTGAGTCCGGGCCGACTCTCCGTGACCCTAGAGGACGGGGTAGAATTGCCCCCTGTTGGTTTCCGAGGCTGTAACTGTTAACAGGAGTAGAAAGCTCCCTTTCTCCCTCGGAGTGGCTGGTGGTTTCGAACGGTGGACCTTGGGGATCACAGCCCGTCTTGGAACCACTGTGCCACCAGGGCTCCTGACCTGGACCGCCAGGCACAGGGACAACTCTTGCCACTGTCTGTGGCTAGCCAGTTGGACTGCAGTGCCTCACTGATTGCATCTAGTTCCACTGTGGACGAGTGCATTGAGGAAAGGGACCGTGTGATCAGACAGATGTGTGATCAAGCCAGGCCCTGCCTTTATGGGTGCACGAGAGGCTACGGTGGTCGTTTTTTCTCTGGGTGCTGTGGCAAAGAGTCCGAGAACCTTAGTGGAGTTACTGAGTCAATTGGATGGAACCTTTACGCTGCTGAGTTACAATGATCCCGTCAACCAACAGACCCGAGACACTGGTTTCCTGCTTTGCTGCGCCCACGAAGATCAGACAGAAAAATACCTATCGGTTTACCAAAGGAGCAAGCAAGAGGAGATGTATTGAAAACCCAGAGCGTGGTGAACTAGCTAGATGGTGATGTCACAGGCACGCTTTGGCGGAGCCGGCCTGGGAAAGGCTTGCCCTGGGCAGAGGGGTTTGCAGCTGGTGACGACCATGGTTTTGTAGGACCGGAAGGCTTCCTGAACGCTGTCTGAGTGACTGGCTCTGATACCCTGGAGCCTACGTTGGGCAACAAACCTGCATCATTGACTGTTGGCTTGTTGGTGGCTGCAGGCCAGACCCCGGCCTAATGTCAGAAGCAAGCTAAGGAAGAGGACCGTATGTTGACCCTGAGCTCGCTCCAAGTGCGTGGGTAAAAAGAGGCATGGGTAGCATACACCATTCAGGGGTTCCAGTACAGCAAGGGGCAGATGGAATGTGCCTGTTCATTCTGCAGCAGAGATGGCAGAGGGAGAAAGGGTCAAGGCGCTTGGTCTTTGTGGCATGGGCATTGCTGAGCAACGTAGTCTCCAAGGGCACTGCCTGTGAGCTTGCTCATCATTTGCTTTCATGGTAACAATTTATTTTAAAAGAATTAGGATCGAACTAGGCCCAAGAAGTTGGAGACTGACAAAGGCCCCAGAGTTAAGGTGACCAGATTTAAAGCAGAACACCATTTCCCGGGGTGGGGGGGGTGTTTCTTGATTAAAAATTTGGTCTATATGGACCAAATAGACCGTTACCTAGCTTGTTGCGCATTCTTTCCAAAAACCGGGACTTTTTAAAACACCAAAAATTGGGACTGTCCCACCAAAAGCGGGACATCTGGTCACCTTACCCAAAGTCCAACCCTTGCAAGATGGTAGTCTGCTCCATTCCCGACATCCCCCCCACCTCCCCTTGAGTTATCACCTCGAGTCTCTGGGTTCCAGGAATCGCTGCAGTGTCCCACAGAACTCGTGAAAGTCAGAGGAAAGGCGGTATTCAGGGGTTGGTGTAGTTCGGTCAAAGAGGGGCGGGGTCAGCAGACCTGTCCACTCCCGGCTCTTGCTGGTGATGAGCTCCCACCCCCTGCTTCTCAGCTGGGCTCTTTCTATAGGAAGCAGGAGGGTCACAGGGAGGACACACAGGTGAAGCCTATCAGTCTCTTCCCTCATCGTCTTACCAGATGCATGCAGGGAGAGGTCATTTGGGGAGTTACATGGTGCAATCAATTTTCACCCAGATGTCATCATCCATTCTCTACCCCTGGACTGGGTCATGTATGCACATGTGACCTGGAGCCACCGGCAAGATGTTTCCAGTGGGCACTGGCCTCCTACTGATCTTTATCAGCCAGGCTTTTGAGCAGGCCACCCCAGAAACAGTTTTCTTTCTCCTCTCAGCTGTAACATATAATTCCTTACATCACTGTACATGATCGTAATTAAGATGACCTTTAAACAAAGAGTGTTGTCCGATTCACACCTTCCACGAAGGTCAGAACTCAGTTTCAACCACTCCGGTTAGTTAGCAGATAACGCTCTCCTCAATGGGACCACAGCCCCAGGCATACAGAATCCAGGATTGTTCTATCGCGCATAACGAACTGTGGCTGGAAGGGTGTATTAATTGAGTATAACTCAGTTTTCTTCAGCCTAAATAGTCAAATGATCATATCCTTTTAATTAGATTCTCATACCCAAACCAAACCACAGAAACCAACCAGACCCCACCCCCAACCATAAAAAAACCATGAAAACAAAGTATTTGTTTTTTTAAGGAATGTACCAGAAACCCAATGTGCCCATTACCCAGCTTCAACCAGTATCAACTGAGGGTCTGTCTCATTTCAGCTCTGCCCCACCCACTCCCCCAATACTGGGTTATTTCACGCTAAGTCACGAACATCCTCTCACTTTATAAATATTTCAGGAGGAATTGCTAACAGATAAGAATTCTCTTTAAAAAGTTTCCCTGTGAGGATGGGGAAATAGATCTATGAGCCTACATTTATAGGTTTAGTATTAAGGTAGCAGAAAGACATTGGGCCTCCACTCAAGTACTCCCTCAATGCAAGAATACTTCCTTCTATTAAATTGGCATTCTAT